GGCACCCGGTGCTCCCCGAGGCCGCGCTTGGGGCAGGCTTGGTAGGATGTAAGCAAGCTTCGAGGCGGCCGGAGCAAGGTCTGAGTACACCTGATCCGTAACTCTGCAGTCAAACCACCTGTAATTGCCATAGCCTGAAGCTCTCTGCAGGTGCAGTGTTTCACAGACATCCAGCATACAACCACCTGTTACTAAAAGGGAAAAAGAAGTAGCCTCTTTGATTTTGCTTTGTAGGATTGAAGCAGCTCGATGCCCAGATGTGGTTGTGGCGCAAATAGACCCCAAGAAATTGAGAAAGAAGCAGACAGTAAACATTTCAGTAAGTTTGTGTGGTTTTACATGTTTTCTTCTGAGAGAAAAAAACACTAAGGGGAATGATGTTAATATAACGTTTGTACTAATTTTGAGGAGTGGTTGCCAGAGCTAAATAGCACTGCTGGACTTAAAAGCATCTACACAATTAAATGTTTGTATCTGAGGAAACACCAGTTCAGCTGCTGGCTAACAGCAGTCTTTCACTGATTCCAGTTGATAATATCCATACTATGTGATACACTGCAGACTGTTTTACTGCCTGAGGAAATCAAATGTTGCATTAAATTTTACACATATTTAATCATAAAACCTGCATGAACTTTAGAAGAAATGTATCTCCATATCTATACTGAGGTCTAAAGATAGGGTAAGCAGCTAAGCTTTACAAAAGTTAGATGAAATTCTAACACTACTTCTTTTCTTTTTGGTGGACTATTTTATTGGATTTTTTCCTTACTGCCAAAGTAGATTTTTCTGTTGTCACATTGCCCTGGCCAGCTTGGATTTTAATCTACTTTCACTTAGTCCAAGAGACCAGGTTTGCCTTTCTCCAGTAAAAACCGTGTAATCTTAAATTCCCCTAGATAGCTCAAGAAAAATTTCTAGTGCTGACATGACCATGTAACTTCTGTGACCATTCTCTTAATTTGTCTCATCTATTTGTAGTGACATCTTCAGCATTCGTGCAAAGTTTCTTTTCTTTCTTCCTTCATGCTAATCTTTAAAGAAGTTATATCTACTTAACCATTAGAGTTAATTTCCTAAAAGAAACTGTCTTCCCCAACTTATTATCTTGGCAAGTGGAACACCTAAGATTCATGGCATCTATCCAAGATAAAGAAATAGGTTTTTACAAACAGGCAAAGCAGAACAATTTTTGAAAAGAAGACCTTATTTTGAATACATAGTTTGTCTTCTTATGAGGAGTCAAACAGAATAAATTTTGTCTACACCAGCTGTTAAATCAGTCTTAAATGAAGATTTAAAGGATACTGTTTAGCTGATAGTAAACACTGATGCTCTTGTTCTTAAGGATTCTTCTTATAAAGTTTTCTTTACATTATAATTATTGCCAGTGTTTTCTTAGATATCTGGATGTCAGCCTGCTCCTGAAGGATACTCTCCAACACTCAGGTGGCAGCAGCAACAAGTGGCCAATTTCTCAGCTGTTCGTCAGGTACAGAATGGTGTGTGTGAGGGAACTTGCACTGTCCAGATAGAACACCTCTGTGCTTTACAGGAAACAACCTTACATCTGCTATAGAAATGTTATGACTTTATGGTAGGACAGATGTTTGTAGGCAAATGTTTTAAGTTCTTGAAAAAGAATTGAGTATGCTGTGTGGCTTTTAAACATCTAATATATAGAGTCACTTTTATAAAGAAAACAACTCCTTCAATTTCATCAAAAATAGGTCAGTATTTAGATTAAGTGATATAGAGTAACTGAGGGAGGACAAAAATTCCCATGATGTTATGCAGTTATATAAAACTTTGGTGCTAGCAGGAA